GGAAGGCATGGAAGGACTGTGGGGAGAGGCACTTTCACGAATCGGTAAGTGCTTGCTTTCAAAGGAAGAACTGAGGGGGACCCGCAGGTGACATGGTGGTTAAGGTGCTGGACTCCCACATGGCCCAAACCCAGAGGCTTGAAAATCACAGGTGCGTGTATGTGCACACCCAAACTCCTGAGAGGGGAGGGAGAAGGGGTTATGGTATGGCTGTCCCCACTGAGAGGAGTGATTTCTCACTTTCCCTTTCCCTGTGTCTCTCCAGTGAGTGTACATGCCCTATGGCAAAAACTCGAAGGAAAAAAACAACCGAGGTGCCTTTTTTCTGCAGGTGGAGATTACTCAGTGTCCGCCATTTTTACTCTTCTTTCAATGATCTCCAAGGCAGGGTGCCCTTGTGCTGACCCTAATGCTGTAGGCAGACAAAATTTGACAATCAGAGAAGGTTCTAAGAAGTCCTACTTGTGTCATACAGACCAGAATTTAAAGGTTGCCCTCAAACTGTTTTCTACCTCCAAGGGACTCTTGTAGGCTCTGAAGCAGTGTTTAGAGTGTGAGAAAAAGACGTGAGTGAAGATTCTGCATGTGGAGTTAGAGCAGACTCCAGAAGCAATGGAGGGAGACTGCTGTTAACGTGTTTTATTTTGTTCTGTTATTTTGTGTTTTATTTGTTAAATTTTACTATAAAGGGCATGGGCTCACATGCGGAGGGGTGGGAAAGCACCCTCCCAAGGAGATGGCCATGCGGTAATCCCTTCTCCATTCTCCTCTTAGAATTCTGGGCAAGTGCTCGCATGCACACACACATGTTTTTAAGCAACCAGGTCTGTGACGCACACTGTCCAGTGTGCTACGTGGGATCCAGCTGCCTTAACCTCCATGCCACCAGCTGGCCCACTTTGGCCCACCACGCCTGGCCCTTTCAGACAGACTCTCTTTCTGTCATCCATGCTGGTCATGAGTTTGCAATCCTCCTACTTTAGCCTCCTGATCAGCTGGAATTACAGGCCCAGAGCTCTGCACCTGGCTTTTAGGGAATTGAACCTGGGCCTCTCATGTGGCCTCAGCCTTCTGGGCATCCCTGTCTAGTGCCTGCTTTCATGGCTGGGTCCTAGCTGATTTTGAAAAGCAGATGGTCTATTTACGTCATTGTGAAGTATATTTATTACGTTGACAGTAACTGCGAAAACACACATCCTATGTATGTACCGACTCTAACACAGTAGTTCATGCAAAGTACAAAATAAAAGCTCCAGGGCAGGTGGGCATTCCCGGGGAGTGATTTGGAGACTCATTCATTTCTCATCATGGTGGTTCTGGTTGCCACCTTCAACTCATGACTTCATGGTCACTGTGCTTCACCTGCAGCAGCTATACAGAGAGGGAGCATGGAGAATAGAGGGACTGTGACAGGTCTTTGTGGGCCAGACCCGGAAGTGGTTACACATCAGCTCTGCTCTTTCTGTGTTTAGAAAGCAGTTAGACATAGTCACACCTAACTCAGAGGGAGGTTGAATCCCAGGAAAAGGTCAAACCATATCATCATCAACTACAGTTATTCCCACCCAAAACCATACAATTTGATCCCAAGTTTCTCTGAACTTAAAAATAAAATGCCCGAATTTCATTTTGGAGTATTTTAAAAACTCATAGTTTATTCCACTGTGTCATAAAATGTATCTGCTTGTTCCAGGTTTATGGTCAATGCAAAGCAGTGTTTTACATTAACAGGCCAAGAAGAGTTCTCTATTTACCTGCCTACAACTGTACTCTTCGCCCAGGTAAGAGAGCTCTGATTTTGTTAGTTTTAGTAGATGATAGATTATTTAACCAGGAGATGCCCGCCCCCGCCCCCATGAGCTCTTCATTGAACTCAATCTCCGTTCTTCAAGGACTCCTGCCCACGGTCCTGCTTCCACAGTGTTCTCTAAGAAAGGAAGTCGTGGCCAGCTGGGAACAGCTGTAACTGGTCTACATTCCTGTCAAACCCTGGCTAAGCCACTCATGGAGCAGATCATGCACAGCCTGATTTAGAGCCTTACCTCCTGTACATTATTTTATTTTTCTTCCTCTCTGGATGTATGCCCCTAGTTCCTATCAAGTATGAAGAACCATTGGTGTTGTGGAACGAAGGACCAAGTGGACTAAGAATGAGGTTGAAACTAAAGAGATTTGAAATATGCACATGCATTCACATGGGTCTTCCTTTTTTTTTTTTTTTTTTTGAGAGATTTTCACTGTAGGGCGCGTGCGCTCGCCAGACAGACAGAGAGAGACATAGAGACAGAAAGCGAGAAATCACCCCCCAGGGGGGATGGTCCCGCCGCAATCCCTTCTCCTCCATTCTCCTCTCGGGATCTTGGGCACGCACGCACACGCGCCCGGCGTGAGTTTTAAGCCACCGGGTCCGGGACACGAACCGCGGTCGACTACGTGGGAGTCCAGCGACATAGCCATTATGCTAACTGCTGGTTCCCCGGGTCTTCCTTTTTTCAAGAGAAAGTCCTTGGAAAGCAAGCTTCCTTGGCCTGGGAAAACGGGATCTGGCTACCTGGCAAACTGTTATGTGAACGTGACTCTGCTGGTGGGCCTTGCTAAAGTGCAGATTCCAATTCCACAGGTCTGGGGCAGGGCCTGACAGCCTGCATTTCTAACTAGTGCCGGGGGGATGACAGTACTGCTCTCTCTTTGGCAAGACAAGGCAACCAAGAAACATTTCATTAGTCGCAGCTTAAAGGCCCTGGTTGTGAAAACAAGGCTCACGTGCAATAAACTGGAGACCAGCAGCAGAATAGTGTCAGAACTTAAAACAGATATCAGAGCTATGCAAGGTCAGGAAGTAACATGCGGCAATGATGCTGTCCCTGGGCCTCCCCCACAAGCTCCCTCAGTCCCCAACTGCACCCACGTAAACACACCGTCAAATCGATCTGTTTGCCCTGCAAAAACAACTTTAAGACAAGTTTCTGAGCCTGACCTCCACACTAGATCTGTCAGCTCAGTTACTCCAAGTAGAAATTCCGGCTGTACTGTTAATGTGATTATTCTTCCCAGTCACACAATGATTTGACTAAGTTTGTTTTCTGGCTCCCTTGCATTTTTTATTTATTTATTTATTTATTTATTTATTTGCCAAAGAATGATGCTTCTTTTAGTATGAAGTTCATGTGCTTGTTTACTTTGCAAAAGCATTGTCCAGGCATTTTCTGTGTGTTTGACTTAGGCAGTAGGGACCGGAAAGTGAGTAAAACGTGGCAGTAATAAAATCTCGACCTTTGAGAACTCCCTCGACAGAGGCAATGATGAGAAAGGATATCGAAATAATCGGGGGTGGAAAATCTTATGTCAATATACCATATTAGCTATCCTTGAAAAAATTCCCAGAGGAAGTAAATTTGTGTGAGGTGAAAACTACCTTGCTTTGCTTTCTCTTTTCATCATGAAAGTCACACATGCTCAGTACAGAGAGCTCAGTGCTGACAGCAGACTTCCTCTCCTGAAAGTATTTTCCTCACTTCATCGTTGCCAGCTCTGAGCCCGTGCCCTCTTTTTTACATCTTTGTCTCTATCGTGGTCATATGACTGACAGGGTTAAAAATCAATATTTGTAAACTACTCTCATTGACATCAACAGTTGCTCGAAGACGTATTCAATTTACATGCCCTGACTGCCCGGGCCCCATTAACCCCTCTTACCCTCAAGTTCTGGAAGCCGCCACTCAGTCTCTTGCAAAATATAACAACGAGAGCACTTCGAAGCAATATTCTCTCGTGAAAGTCACCAGGGCTTCTTCTCAGGTAAGGCTGAAGTATCCATGCCAGTTTCGCACTGTGCTTCACAGCTGTGGCTATAGACTCCTTGGTTGAGAGGAAGATGTCAAGGCACTCCTTTGGATTAGAACCCAAGAGCTTTTGTCAGCACCCCCTACTTTGGTAGAGTTGATACACATTGAATCAAATTTCTGCTTCCATGGCATTTCTACAAGAGTCACGTGACTTGATTTTACTTGAAGGCAAGCAGAGAAATGGACTCACGTGTCCTTAGGGGATTCTATGTAGGTTCCCTGTTTATTGCTACATTTTCCTATCTGAGCGACCATGGGCCATTTAGCAAGACAACTTTTACTCCATGTTAAGACCTGATATAGATGCTGAGTTTCATGAATTAGGGGAAATGGAGGCTCATTCGTATTTGATATTTCACTCATATGGAAGAAAACTAATCTGAAAGAGCTACATGAAGAAAAATAAGCTCACCAAGGGAAGCTCATTCAAATTCTTAAGAAGAGAATAAAGATATAGTGATTATTTTTCTAACTAACAAAATAATGGTACCTAGTTTGATCATTGTGAGAACTTGCAGGATCAGTAGACATGTGTATTGACAATGTCCCTGGGGATGTATCATTTTTATAAATGGAATGCTATCAAAACTGAGTCTTTCTCCCATATTAGAAGGTTTGATTTTTATGTCTCAACTCTTGTCTCACACCAGTGGGTGTTTGGCCCGTCTTACTTTGTGGAATATTTAATCAAAGAGTCACCATGTGCTAAATCACAGGACAGCAGCTGTTCACTTCAGCCCTCTGACTCTGAGGTGAGTTTCCCTTAATGTCTCTATAACATAAAAGAGTTGTGCTCAGAGATCATCTCTAAGTATTTACTGAGTATAAATTGCACATGAGGTGTTGTAAAGCACAAGATGTGTATCCTTCTATAAAGGGACAACCAACTATTAATAGTTAAGAGATTAAGCAGGCCCAGATGCAATAACAGATTTCATTCAATTGTTAGTGCAATTTTCATCAGCAATGTGATGCAGTTGCAAAAAGTGATGATAGGGTCATGTAAAATACAGAAGAATCTCCTCATAGGTTGATGAAGACCCTGGTTTTTTGGGGGAGAGATTTTTCGCTATAGGGCGCGTGCAACTCGCCAGACAGGGAGAGACATAGGGACAGAAAGCAAGAAATCACCCCCCAGGGGGGATGGTCACGCCGCAATCCCTTCTCCTCCATTCTCCTCTCGGAATCTTGGGCACACACGCACCCGGCGTGAGATTTAAGCCACCGGGTCCAGGACGCGAACCATGGTCGACTACGTGGAAATCCAGTGACATAGCCATTATGCTAACTGCTGGTTCCCAGGACCCTGTTTTGAACTGAACAAATCTGGTTACATTCATAAGAAGGACAAAGTCTGATAGGCCTTCGTTTAAAGAGTGGATCAGAGCTGGGAAGAGAATCCTGAAACCATCTAAAACACACCTGCCAAAAATTTCAATGGCCAGGTGTGTTGGAGCACCACTGGATAACATACATCAAAATTCTTTTTTCCCCTTATTTACTGTTTTTCAGTAACTATCATATTAAGATATAATTTGTGGTGCCAGCAGATGGCATTAACAGTTACGTCACTGGACTCCCATGTAGTCAACCATAGTTCAAGCCCTGTTGCCAGCAACTTAAAAACTCAAGCTGGGTGCATGTGCATGTTATCCAAAATCCCAAGAGGAGAATGGAGGAGAAGGGATTGTGGTGTAGTTATCCCCCCTGGGGAGTGATTTTGCTTTCTTTCTGTCTCTCCAGTGAGAGCACATGCCCTAAAGCAAGAATCTCTCAAAAAAGCTATAATTCGCATACCAGGCCATCTGTGGTGGCACGGCAGTGATGAAATGCTGGGAAGTCTTGAGTTTTTATCCCCATGTTTCCCTGTCCATGCCAGGTGTGCTCACATGCACCCATGATTCTGGCAGGCTAAGGCTTGGAGTGAATGATGGCATGGGGACCTGTTGAAGGTACCTGTCTGTCTGTCTCTTTCTGGAAGAGATGAATAAGTAAAAAAAAAAAAAAAAACAGGGACCATCAGATGGCATGGTGGTTAAAGGCCTGGATTCCCACATGGCCCCCCACAGTTCGAGTCCTGGACCTGGTGGTTTGCTTTCTCACACTCTCTTGCTCCCTCCCTCTCTCTATCCCTCTCTGGTCAAATGAAAAGAAATAAATGGATAAATAAAGTTAAATAAAGTAATTCTTTAAAAAAATATAATTCACACACCATAAAATTCAACCTTTTATGGTATATAATTCAGAGGTTTCTTAGTATATTCACATAGTTGTGCCACCACTTTCTTATTTTAGAATGTTTTAATCAGCCCCCAAAGAAATTCTGTAGTCATTAAAAGTCATTTTCCACTGTAGCCTCAATCAAGCCCTGAGGCCAAGAGGCACAATTATATAGGCAAGCTTTCTGTGCAATGCAAAGAATTTTTAATAATATTAGTTTTTTGTTCTTCAAGAAATACTGAGTTCCCCGCCGTTGGAGGCAATTTAGCATAGTTGGGGGGGATTTTTTGGTAGGGTAATCTAGAGGAAATTGGCTCAGAGTCTCCTTATTAGATGATAGGAGCGTGAAAATGTTAACTGTGTGTCTACACAAACAAAAAAGTTGATTTCCATTCATGACTGTTGATCATCTTAATGCTGAAACAACATCATATTTTGTCTTTCTTGTAGCCCGTTGGTCTTTGCACAGGTTCTCTGAGTCGAAGGCACTTAGAAAAGTGGGTCTCTGTGAGTTGCAACTTCTTCGAAGCACAGGTATTTTTCAATCCTATTGTCTTCCGGTGAGAAACAAATGATCTATATTTACCTCCTACTACCCTACCCTTTTGATTTCCCTCCGGCCCACATAACCACTTTTCCCAGGTTGCCCTAAGGCCACGCCCACAGAGTAGTTGTTTAAAAATGCGTCATGGTTTGTTTCGGTCTCATTCTGACCCTACAGAGTTGGAAGGGCACATTCAGAAACAGGGAACTGCTAGTTGGCATGTTTAAGCCTCTGAGGCTTTAAATTTAGTATCCCCCCACACACACACAGCTTATCCCTAACCACAGGGAGGAATCATTTCCATGAAAACAGTGGCTCCTTTTCCAGAAGTACATCTTGAGCAGTAGCTATGAGGGGACCTCTGAGGTAGCCTACGAGGTGATTGAGACAAGCTACCTGGGTTCCAGTTGTGCCCTGCTCCTGTGAACCGTGCGACCTCAGGCAGGTTTGTACTTGCTGAGCGTTGATTGCCTCATCTATAAACGTGATCACAGCACTTACCATGTTCAGATCCTTGTGACAAGTGAGGGGACCTTCATGGAATGAGGAGTGCTGTACAGAGCATGGCAAGAGGTGGCTGCTGTTACCACAACTGTGAACAGGGAGAGAGCTCACCAGGGACTTTGAGCAAGTCATTGAACCTGAGCCATTGTAGACTTACTGTCAAGCTTTCACAGGGCTTGGTTCCTCCTGTATCTGTTTCAATTTTTAGCCCTTTTACAGGGAGTCCCCTCCTCTAATCTGACCTCCCTTTGAAACATCCCATCAAAAAGACACAGATCAGATTAGTCTGGTACTAGACGTGGCAGGGCTTTCTCACTGAAACTGTGCATTTGAAACATTTTTATTTCAGGCTCCAGCCCCTGGAGGTGAAAAGTCTGCTGTTAATCAGGGACCTGAGAGCCTCCCCAAGGTGGAAGAGCCCCAAAAGAAAGATTTGGACCCCACTCCCTCTCCCAGCAAAGCTGTACCAAGGGGATCTGTCCAGTACCTCCCCGATTTGAATAAGTCTGAAGATTTGGATGAGGTGACGCCTGAAGATTTCGAGGGAAAGAACCCTCATGAAGCCTTGCCTGTGCAGCTGGATCTAACCACAAATCCCCAGGGAGAAACCCTAGATGTCTCCTCCCTCTTCTTGGGGCCTACTGAGAAGTTGGTTGTCCTGCCTTTCCCGAAAGGCCTACGCTCTGCTGAGTGCCCAGGACCAGCCCAGAAAGACAACCCTCTTGTCCTCCCACCATGAGAATCAGATAGAGACTTCAGGGCTGTGTGATGCCCTGAGAGGTGGTGTGGACAAGGGACAGAGAGAAGAATTCAAATATAGAGTGGCTAATAAAATGTATCTTGGTCTCAGCATATTGACTGGATAGAAATAATGAGAGTAAGCCCTCCCCTTGGGCTGCCACGAACACTGCACGTTATACACTATGTATTGAAATTCATCTCCTAAACTATGCACAAGTTCATACCATGAATAGATGCTTCTCTTGCATCTACAAACTCTCACTTAAGAAGATTAAAATTCTTTTGCTTCATATATATGCTCAGATCTCTGTATTAAAGCATGCCATGAGGGATCAGCAGTTAGCATAATGGCTATGTCGCTGGACTCCCATGTAGTCAACCGTGATTCAAGTACTGGACCTGGTGGCTTAAACTCACGCCAGGCGCATGTGGGTGCATGCCCAAGATCCCGAGAGGAGAATGGAGGAGGAGGGATTGCGGCGTGGCCATCCCCTCTGGGGATGGTGATTTCTCACTTTCTGTCTCTCTCTGTCCTCTCTGTCTTTCTGGAGAGTGCACGTGCCCTATAGCAAAAAAAAAAAAAAAAAAGATACTTTCTCTAATACCAAGAGATATCAGAAACAGACCCAGCAGAGTTGCACTCTCTATATTCCCTTTAATTACAAGATCAAATGTTAATTGGGCATTGCTCTTACTATTTCCAACCCTCTGTCTCTTTTCACCTGCCTGAAAAGCTCTGGTTCTCAGCAACAGGGCTGTTTTGATTATCACCTAAAAAACCTTCTTTCCAGCAAAGGAAATAACAATTAGAGTGAAAAGGCAACCCTCAGAATGAGAGAAAATATTTGCAAGTTATTTGCACTTAGAGATGAGGTACAGGCAAGAGAAGAGTACCTGTGGCCTATACTGGAACACTATGCAAACACCAGACTTCAACAGCCCATGTCATTGTTAAAATTTCTCTCAAAACACATTAAAGGATCTGTCATGACATTCAGTCACAGACTTCTTTTTTTCATATTTAAAAACTGTAGGAGAAAATTTCCCTCGATTAGAAATATATGTACATATGCATGATCATGTACACACACACATACACACACACACTATAGAATTGTGGCATTTTGACAGTTTGCAGGTATAATTATCACTCTCCATCTTAGCAGTCATTTCTTAAGAGGGATACATAGACTTTGGCAAAATTTACCTGAAGAAAGGTAGACAGTATTCACACTCAATTGCTTTTAACTACTTCTCATAAGAAAAGATGATATTGTGGAGGTGTCATGTGGGTCTATTACACCGTGAAGCCTTGAGTGTAGACAGGGTTAAGAGAGCAACAAGGTATGTGAGGAACTTGAAGCTTTGCCACCCTAGACTGAGAAGGCCAGAGGAGCAGTGGCTGGCTTACCCAAACCAAGTGTGAGCTCTGGAGCCCTGCAAGAGATGCTACCTGGCAGAAGTCACCCTCGTGGAAGGATGCAACCACTGCCAAACCAGATGTTGAAGCAGGAGGCAGCAGGAAATAAACACTCTGCGCTTGCCCTGCCTTCTTCCCTGCTGCCTATCTCCTCCTGTTGGAGTGTGTGTGTGTGTGTGTGTGTGTGTATAAATTACAGATTTGTATTCAACTGAGAACTTCACATTCTTTTGTCTGTTAAATGTTTCTTCTCTTTTCCCCTTCCACCCACCTTCTACCACCCAATACCCCTCCCTTATAGTCTCTGGTATCTACAGTCATCCTCTCCACTATTCTATCTTTGGATCTTTCCATTTCTGCCATAGAGTGCAGACATTCAGTACATATTGAGTGGGGATATACAGTGTCTATCCTTCAAAATCTAACTCACTTTGCTTAACATTAAGTATTCTATATTTACTCACTTTGAATCAAATGATAGGGTCTCATTATTTCTTATGGCTGAATAGTATTCCATAGTATATATGTGCCACAGTTTTTCAACCCAGTCATCAGGTTTTTGATACACAGAGTGATTGATTCCCTGTCTTAGCAACTGTGAATAATACTGTAATAAACATGGGTTTGCAAATGTCTTTCTGACTGTTTTTCCATCCTTTTGGTAAATACCAAGAAGTGGGATTAGTGGATCATATGGAAATTCTATTTGTAGAATTTTTAGGAACTTCCATATTGTTTTCTACAGAGGTTGTACTGATTTACATTCCCACCAATAGTGTAAGAGAGTTCTGTTTTCACCACAGCCTCACCAGCACTTGTCAGTCTTTACTTTTTTGATCCTAGTCATTCTGAGATTAAATGGTATCTCATTGTGGTTTTAATTTAAATTTCTCTTATGACAAGAAACTTTAAATATTTTTTCATGTGCCTTTTGTCCATTTGTAAGTCTTCCTTGGAGAGTTGTCTATTCAGTTCATTTGCCAATTTTTAAATCAGATCCTTCATTTTTTTTATGAGTGAGGTGCTTGAGTTCCCTATATATTCTGGCTATCCCTTGTCCAAGGAATAATGTGCAAATATTTTCTTCCATTCTGAGGGTTGTCTTTTTACTGTAATTGTTATTTTCTTTGCTGGGAAGAAGCTTTTTAGGTGACAAGCAAAACAGCATGGTACGGACACAAAAATAGAAGCAGAGACCAAAGGAATAAGATAGAGAATCGAGAAATAAAACCCAAATCATGCAGCCAACTGATCTTTGGCAAAGAGTACAAGATAATTCAGGTAGAAAAGAAGGCCTTTTCAGCAAATGGTGCTGGAAGAACTGGATGTCCACCTACAGAAAAATGAAACTGGACCCCTATTTCTCACCATTAACAAAAATCAACTCAAAATGGATCAAAGATTTAAATGTAAAGTTTTAAATATGAAATTACTGGTAGAAAACTTGGACCTCTTGAAGACATGGAGTAGGCAAAGATTTCTTAGGAAAAAAGCCACTGGGACCAGCAGTTAGCATAATGGCTATGTCGCTGGACTTGCATGTAGTCACCCACAGTTAGCGTCCCGGACCCAGTGGCTTAAAACTCACGCCGGGCGCATGTGCGTGCATGCCCAAGATCCCAAGAGGAGAATGGAGGAGAAGGGATTGTGGCATGGCCATCCCCCCTGGGGGGTGATTTCTTGCTTTCTGTCTCTCTATCTCTCTCTGTCTGGCGAGCGCACGCACCCTATAGCAAAAACCTCTCAAAAAAAAAAAAAAAAAAGAAAAAAAATACTGACTCTTTGAATCCCACTAGCCAGCAGGAAACCCTGGATTACTTAATTCCCAGGGCACTGCCTGGAAGACAGGGCCAGGCAAAGTCAGAGGATGGACTTTGAGGGCAGAGAAAAACAATGGCAAGTCTCAGGTAGGACATTTTTTTCCCAAGGGTGTTCTATGACATGCTTCTCTCTCTCTCTCTCTCTCTCTGTCTCTCTCTCTCTCTGTTTTTTTTTTTTTTTAAAGAAAAGAAAAAGTGAGGAAGGACTTCAGTCTTCGTTTCTCCCTGCAACTACACCTCCTTTCTTTTTCCCTGGCTAAATTCTTGAAAAAGTAGATTGTTCTCTTGCTTGCCACTTCCTTGTCAGTTGTTCATTCCTCAGCTCATTGTAATGTGAGTTCTCTTTTCTCATAATCCACTGATTCAGTGTTCCCTAATAACTGGCCAATTATAAATTCAAAGGCAGCAGTTCTGTTCACATTTACTTATACTCGCTCAGTGATCTGACCATCTGACCCTTGCTCACTCTTCAAGTTTTCTGAAGTAGATTTTGTTCCACATTCTCTAGATTTTTCTCCTTCTTTTCTGACCTTCAGACCCAAACATAGATCCTTCTTTTATGGTTTACCTCTCAGATGCTGTTTCTCCAATTTTCAGTCCCTGATATGCTTTTCTTACTCTGCAAACTTTATGCAGACCAACTAATCCACATTCTTTCCAGTAGTCCCAGAATGATGCAATCATTATTTATCTTAGGACCCTGTGTTCAAATCATCAATAGTTTGCAATCTGCTAACCCGAATCTTTTAGGCGGAGACCCAAATAAAATAAAGGTGAAAAAGAAGACATTACAACTGTTACCACAGAAATATAAACAATCATTAGAGATTACTCTAGTTAGTGTATGGAACAACTACACACTAATGTGTTGAAAAACTGAAAAGAAATGGACAAATTCCTGGACACACAACCTGCCAATTTTTTTTTTACCATCAATATATACAACTTTTGTTTGTCAAGAATATCTCAACAACAACAAGAAAAAAAAATTCAAAACCCCAAAGCTATACAGGACTTATATATTCAGTTCATCAAAGTAGTATACTGGTTGACCAACTAAAAACTACATGTTTGTTTTATATGAAAATCTTGCAGAAAATGTGATTATTAATGACTTCATAATGATAATGCTACATAATCAACCAAAAGGAAATCTATCTGAAAACTCTAATAAATATGTATTTTTCCTATGTCAATTTACTTAATAAAATTTCCTTAAAGGGTTCTGGATTACATTTTAAGCATCAACTAATATTTTAACCAAACCATCTGGTTGCTAGTTTCATAACCTTATGCTGACATTTATATGGATAAATAATGAATAAAATAGAAAAAAAGGATTATGGTAAGATTATAGGTTCTGACATGATAGAATCTCCATAAAAATTTTTAAATACTATTTTTAAATTTTTATATCTTTTTTAAAATATATAAATTCTGAAAATACATGACATCAAGTCTGATAATGCCTTTTTATACTTTTCAGTTTTGTCAACATTCCCACCATGAATCCCTAATGTCAACATTATCATGGAGCATGCAGGCTGGAATATAAGTAATGCTCTCTCTGAGAGAGTGATGTTGATGAGGAGGGGCCACACCTCAGTTTGAGTTAAGTACAATTAGAAATTAGTCATGGAAGGATATATCTACCACAGATATCTTTCCTCATGTTGAAATGATCTCGTTTCTTTCCTAAGGTACTTCCGCTAGATCTGGTTCCTAAATAACTCCTTATCCTATATACCTACTTATTTATTTTTCTTACTTTTGTTCCACTAGTGTAAGATTGTGCTTCAGAAAACTCAGTTCGTGGAGAAGAAAATCCAATATGTGATTGATGACAAAAAGTTTACCAAATTTAAGATGTAGTGCTCCAAAAATAGTGGCGACTAATCATGGGTTGTCCAGAAGCATTCTTTGTTTCTTTTCCAAGATGATGAAGACTCTTCATACATTTTCTTTTCCCATATGGGCACCTTGGCTTTTAAAGTGTCAATGGCATAGCTCACAGCTTCAAAGGGCACAGATCTGTGGGCTGAGGACACAGAA